CGGAGCCACCATCTCCATTGCTGCTATGCCCTATTTCGAGAAGCAGTTAATGGAAGGCAAAAAATTCGGCAAATTTTGGCGAATTTTTCACCGAAACTACCATATTTCCCTGAATTTTTACTTTTTTTTTTTTTTTTTTTTTTCCTGTGATCTGTACCATATGTATTCAGTTTCGAGCATAGTTGCGGTGCACCTCGGTGCGCGGATTCTGTCTCTTATACACATCTAGATGTGTATAAGAGACAGGGCCTATTTTGTATTATCTTCTGAAAAACAACAAACCTGCTATTAGTGCTCAGACTGGTGGGTCAGCAGACAGTTGGCCATCCTTCAGAAGGGGGGATCATAATGGAGACACAAATACCTGCTCCCCAGCAATTTGCAATTGACCTCTCCTTTCATCACAGGCGTGCATTGCAAAAGGAGGGGATAAGGAAAGAAAGGGAGGGAGGGAGGGAGGGAGGGAAGGGAGGGAAGTGAAGGGAAGGGAGAAGGAGAGGAAGGGAGGGGGGGGAGGGAGGAGGGTGGAGAGGATTGAGGGAGGGAAGGGGTTAGGTGGCATGGGGGAAAACGGGAGGGGGAGGGAGGGAAGGAGGGCGGGGGGGAGGCGAGGGAGTCTGAGTGGATGGGAGAGGAGAGGGATGGATGTGGAACGGAGTGAAAGAGGGATGTAGGGGAAGGAGGGGTAGAGGGAGTTGGGGAAAGAAGAGTTGAGGGAGGGAGGGAGGGAGGGATTGAGAGAGGGCAAAAGGGGGAGGAGAGGTAGGGAGGGTACGGGGAAGGGGGCGGGTAGGAGGCATAGAGGGAGGGGGAGGACAAAGAAGGAGGTAGGGTGAGAGCGGGAATGGCAAAAATGAGGAGGGGACGGAGGCGATTGGGGGAGGCAAGGGTTGTTAGGCCGGAACCAAGAGAGATAAAGGACCTTGCCTCCACCACACAACATATGCATAAAAGACAAAAAGTATGCCATTGGCTGTGTATCTGTCCATGTTCTAGAGAATGACTTATTATCATTTTGTGCTTTCGCGGAGTGGTGCAGTGAGGGCCAAAGGGAAGGGAAGGCAAAGGGCAACAAAGCCAATGACAGAATAGGGGCTGTCTCTTATACACATCTAGATGTGTATAAGAGACAGCGACTGCGCTATAGTCATCATCAGAGGACTGCAT